TTCCTGATTGGTCGAGAAGCTAGCCAATTAGGAAGCCGGGCAACACGTCATTACATGGCCGGGAAGCCGACTCCATGAGTACTCGCCCTAATACTCGGCACCGATACCGGTATAGGTGCATTCCTAATCAAAATACATTTCTGGGTATGACCCTGGTACCCGGTTCACCATTCATCCACCAATTTACACAGCCAATATAAGAGAAAATCAATCCAGCCCGCAAAAGGTGATATTCAAGGAAGAAGATTGAGAAGGAGCCAGTTCGGTGTGCTACAGTGTTTAGATGCTAACAAGTATCATACAATTGATTGATGGCCAAGGCCAGAGTATCTAGCTACCACACCCCTGAACTAATGATAATATTATAAAAGAAGAAAGGTGGGGCTTTCATGGTACCAAAAGGCAATTACGGATAAAAATCTCTTTTTATTTAAGATTGGATACAAAATGTAAAATTGATGATAATCACCAGACAGATAACTCCCAAGAGGCTCACTCCACTTCAATAGCTAGATCAACATACATGATTGATTTGTAGCAATGAGCATAATGACATGATTCACAGTAATATAAACATGATTAATTGGACTGATTTGGAATGGAGGGGTCACATGATTTCCCGACTCACTTCATTTCCAATCTAACAAAAAAAAGTGATAACATGATTATAACATAAATCAAAATATGACCAAGTCAATTAATTGGTTTAAAGTGGAGGAGTCAATAGTTGCCCTCAGCGTTTTGCGCTGAATAGCGCTTCCTCAGGAGATGGAGAATATCGGTTCAGGAGGTTAACAAGTGTGCGTCAGAGCGGACCGGTCCGGGCAGAACCCACAATCAGGGGACACAGGGGCGAAGCCCATTGCCTCAGAGGCAGACAGCAGGAGGTAGAAGTCACAGATTCAGAAAAGGAGCCTAGCCCACTCCTCAGTAACAGCCCAGCAAAGGTCACTGGACAGGGTCACATCAGTCCACACCCCCAGAGCCACCAGCATCCGACACAACCGCCCACAAGGAACATGTTGATAGGACTAGAGAGCAGGGAAATGAGCTCATCAGTCTGCCGATTTTCCTTTCACTGTCTAGTCACCGCACCAGAATGGGCAAGACCTTGTTGTATTACAGCCCATTCACACTACTGCGCTTGAGTAATGCATGTATGCACATGGTAGTGCACATTATGTGCATTGTTGCTCTGAGAAGCCATTCATTTAAAATGTATGGGCTGCCTTTACACACACTAACATGCAACCTAACTCATGTTCATGCATCGCAGTGGACTTGATCAGTGGTAATGGGCCTTCTCTTATCTGCAGTAGAGAAAAGTCAGGTCTCCTGGCTGGCTATCCTTGCTGACTGGCAGGACTTTGTCTCTAGAATGAGTGGACAGAAATTCAAATCCTTTTGACAGGTAAAACGGCCCTCGGATATGTATTTTATTTCCTGATAATGAGACATGGTTTACCTGCCAGTCTCTTTGGGTTGTGATTGATATCCACATATGTTCTGGTGTCTAGGTATTTTTTTTACTTCCTATTCCCATTGATGTCTGATGATTTTTGTGCCTACACCCTTGATGCTTAGGTTAGGAAGACGGTTTTATTTTTTTTATTAAGCATCAGTGGTTCATCATTAATAGTAGAGAATCAGTCAGACCTGTAGATCCTGGGGAGGTGGCACCTCACATTCCTGCCTTTCATTCATGAAGGGAGGGGGGGGGTGCAGGAAAAGGTCACCAATGCTATATGATGGCAGTCCTTTCCTCTTAGGTTTGCATACATCAAAGAAAAATAAGCTAGACATAAAACACAGTTCTCACCCAAATAGGTTATAAGTAGTCAAACTGCACTTAATGGATACAGCAGGTAGCATGTACAGTCCTCTTGTAGTTACATGAACGGCAAAAGATCTCCTGATATGTATGTGTTATGAGATACCCATAGACGTATATGGGTAATAGAAACCCATTCCATGAAGCTCTCTACGCACTGTTGTTTTGCCAATCTGAAGGCCACACGAAATGTGGAGGTCTGTAGCTATTGACTCTGCAGACAGTTGGCGACTACTGTGCGCTTTAGCATACGCTGACCCCGCTCTGTCATTTTACGTGGCCTACCACTTCGTGGCTGAGTTGCTGTTGTTCCCAGTTGCTTCCACTTTGTTATTATACCACTAAAAGCTGACCATGGAATATTTAGTACAAAGGAGATTTCAGTGAACACTTGAATCCAATGATTTGGAGGGTTGTCCCAATACTTTTGGCAATATAGTGTGTATGTGTATATATATATA